TATGATAGAGGAGGATGTCTATCCTCCCATCAAGTGAACCATATGGCTGAGATAATATGACATCACATACACCAGAAGCACTGTCAGACTATTTTGGCGTTGGGTAATAATAAATAGATTAAGGCTTCAAAATTCTAAGTAAAACGGTCATTAACTATCTTCGAAGTTTTACGGGGCCACAGGAAAATACCGTTCCGTCTCTGTAGCCGAGCCTGATAGGTATACTCCTGACATTAGAGTATTACTGGGACTTAGATGGACTTTCTGACCGTTTGCTTCGATAGCATTCTAAAGCCCCTTCATTGCTGTAATGAAAACGCAGCGCTGAGTTTACTGGGAATCTACTCATTTCATTTGTTGGAGGAATAAATCTGACATACACTGTGGTTAGTAATTATTTTATACTTGCTTTACTGTTGCTTTTTTTACAAGCGATCCACAAGAATGACTTAAGATTAAGAACTACATAGACACATATTACTTGTTTCGGTACAGTTTCAAAAAGCGTGTTTGTAATCGATCACGTATTAGCGTATGTATTATTTTTTGATACCAAAAAAAAACACATATTCCTATCTCAGTTCATTCAAAAAATTTTTAAAGTTAATGTTTGTTTAAAAGTAAAATTTAAAGTTATTGTATGATAGAAGAGGGCAGTCCAAGAGACAGATAACTATATGATATCTTAACAAGATTTGCTAACGATCTATTTTTGCTTAAGATACTCGGAAATCCACAGACTGAAATCGAAATGTGATTAATGCTTCAAGCTTAATGGTCTTTTTCACGTCTGTGTAGGGTTGTTCGTGACCCGGACGGATTTTTTCAATTTACACATAGGCGAATTAGGCAGAAAACCTGCAAAGAGTTGTAAAATTTCTTTCATTGCTAGGTAGCTGCCGCCACGCTTTTTTAATGCACAAACACAGCGCACAAATTTATTCTTTTAATTCATTATATCAAATGTGGAACGCAAATAGGAGGTAGTAAAGTTTCTAAAATAAAAAAAGTTTTTATTATATAAGTTAAAACGGCGCATGTCACTTCCGTTTAATAAAACCAAACTAAGTTCGACTAACAAACGGTGCCTCATCCTTCAAGCGGCGATAAACTCTAGTCGGCCATGCGTAATGTTAAACGACTCCCATTTTTCTATAGATGCAGGAAAATTGCTGTCGTATTTCCGGCTCACATGTCTATAAAGCCTTCCACAGACGAACGGCCGCAACATGTTAAATAATCGATATTTACTTTATTGAATACTTTGCACAAAAGTATATTTTTAAATTCAGAAGAAAAAAAGGGACGTAAAAAAACATAATTATAAACAGGTTAACTAAATATTACGCGTTTCAAATCGTTAAAAGTGTCCGATTAAAATTCGTACGACCCGCATAAACTACAGACTATATATATCAAGCCAAACGTTTCCAGCGTCATCTAAAACTTACATATGTAGATAGATATGGATGTAATGTACGCGAGTAGTACATATTCCAATAAAAGACTTAAACGGTTTAAAAAGCGTTATATATTAATTAAACTTATTTGAGAATTATTTTAACTACGGCCCGTGGTCACGTGGAGATTGCCAGTCAGTCTCCCCGTGACCACGGTAAAGATATGGATAGCGTAATGACAATATTATCGCTGGTTGATAAGACGCCTTAACAGGAGACAAGAAGATTATTCCTCGGGAATAATATGGAGTGAAGATCATTTCTCCCTTGTATCGCTCCGAGAGGTAGAACACCTCACTTTTGTTTCTCTGCTTGATGTCATCAGCGTTAAGTTTCCTTTAACAAGTACGTGATTGTTATACCATTTACTACTTCTTAAAATTTTGAGTAAATACGAACCATTTTAATTCGTTGTCAAGCCAAAACACCTCATCCCAGTAATAATAATAATAAAACTCTTTATTGCACAAACATAAGAACATGGACACTAAAATTTAAATAAAACACTTTAACGGTTTAAAACGCGATATATTAGTTAAACTTATTTGAAAATGGTTTTTAACTTCGGCCCGACGTCTCCCTGTCTCCCCGTGACCACGGCTGCTGCAAAGCATCCGAAACGTCGGACCGTAGTTAAAAATCATTTTCAAATAAGTTTAACTAATATATCGCGTTTTAAACCGTTAAAGTGTTTTATTTAAATGTGTACTACTCGCGTAAACTATAGACAGTATTTAATAGACACTTAAAGTTATTTAAACAAAATAAAAAATGGTTGTGAAAAGGCGGCCTTATCGCCTATGGCAATTTCCTTCCAGGCGACCTTTGCGTGTAGAAATAAAAAAAAATGAGTTGCATATATTTTTTAATGATTGAGGACAGACAAGCAGTAGGTGAAGTACTTCAAAGACTCCAACAGCGCATCTAAATAAGATGAGTTGTCGACTTATTATGGCTTTGGATATTTGGAAATCCACAAACCGAACCGAAACCGAAACGTAATTAAACTTCACGTGTTTTCATCTGTGGACTGTGGTTCGTAGCCGGGGCGGAATTTCTCGAACCACCCATTTAATATCCACATTTCCAGATCAGAATTTATGAAATGAAAACTTAGAAACCTGTTGGACCCGGCGGGGATCGAACCCAAGACCCGTCGATTATTAGCCTTACATTGCTACCATTACACCAACGAGCCGCTGGATAAGCATTAATAAGCAACGAGCCAATTAAATACCTACAACACAACCGCTCACCGTCATCAATTCGCAACTTCCACAATCTTAACGCCATTACAGTCAAATAAACAGTTATTTTCTGCTGTCCTTCTCAATAAACATTGGTAAGGAAAACGAGGCTATTAAGTAGCGCAATATATCTTATAGAACGGCGCTTTAATAGTGCTAGAAAAGTAATAAAAGCAATTATAGAAGCATACTCGTAAGTAAAAGTTTGCGGCCAGCAGCCGTCGCGGGAAGTTCTGCCAATTATAACAAATGTCGGAGCCGTGCTTAAGGCCCTCATAAAAATTGATATTAATTATGTTAATGAAGTTTGCTTTAGTTAGCGAGTACTTAAGAGTTAATTCTATTTATTACTACATCTGTTTAGTAATGAGCGACCATTTAAAACTTCATTTTTAAATTTGCTGAGTCAACTACTTCGTTCGCGTAGAATAGTCATTGGCGTCAAAATTTGTTTTAGCAAACCTCCCCCTTATTTCTTTAAATTATAGCTGCCTCGATAGATACGATTCCTGAGATTAGCACGTTCAAACAAACAAACTCTTTAGCTTGATTTATAAGTATCGATATAGGTATACTAATAACACAGTTTTGTAACCACTTAGCATTAAAGCTCTAAATATTAATCTCATAAAGTTCCACATTATACAAATAAATTATTACAGTATTGAGCAAACGTCGACCTATAATATTAAATGTTAGTAATCGCCGCGTCTTTGTTTTTAGAATTCATGTTATTAGTGCTAAATGCATTTTTATGAATATCTAATAAACATCATTCATTGACAGTTAATCTTTAATGTCCAATATTCTATTGCATGATAGAATCGACGAAAGACCCCTTGTATCTGTGTGTGCTGTGCCCCTAGCATTTATTTGGAAGAATTACCTTTGACATATAAGCTATAGAATTTAAAAATCGAAAATAAATTAAAAAATTTTCGACACGGGCAGGACTTGAACCGACATCGTCAGCGTTCCGTGCAACAGCTCTATCAATTGAGCTACCGAGTCCTACACCTCATTGCCGATTTTTTTCCAACTTACATATAAGCTTTTAAACATTTATAATGTATGCAGTACTTTTCTTTTGTTGTTTTTCTAATAAAAAATGTAGGATTATTGTTAAAAAAGTTACAATTGGAAATTTGTAACATGTATAATTTTAAATTAATTACAGTAATAGTTGAAGAGCTTTGAATTTGAATCATAATTAATGGTATGTTGTTAAAAGAGAAATACATTGTCTATACATATAGCTTCATATATTTTAGGAAAGCTAAGGTAACCCTACAATAAACTCGTGATTTGTGAAATTTGCCCTATATTTGCACAGAGGGCGCGGCGTTTTAATTGAATTTTAAATGTGTACATACGAATATCAGCCAACCTGCCGTAAATTAGTAACTTGCTAGAACGAATACGTAATAAATCTAATTAACTAAATAGCGTATATTGACATTTTCCGACTCAGACATTTCATGCAATACAAAACATTTTCGAAACAACTATCTTTAAAGCTAATCTTTATTTTGTTGTATCCTGGAATGTCTATTTGTAGCGTTGATTGTTAAAATAATTATTTTAAATCTTTATTCAAAACGTTAGTAAGCCTAAGATAAAATCGGAGCACTATGCAGGAAGATAATCCTGGCGATTGGTCGCACGCCAGAGGCAGGATGCCCATGTACACCATCCAACTGGCGCTTAGCCAGAACAAATGCCGAGTTTACTGATGTTCAGTCCCTAACATGCCAGTTATTAAGAAGTTCACTTTGTACCTTTCAGGGTTAAAATTTATATAATTTACCTTCTTGACAGAGTTATTTATGAGAAATTTGTAAATAATAAGTATGCATTATTTAAGCAAATAGCCTTTTGATTTAAACAAAACGAGTTTCTCTAAAACAAAATGATATTCTTGTTACTTCATGTTGATACAAGAACATCATTATCAAATCATAAAGAATTGTACAAAAAATAATTTAAAAATGTTAAATATTATGTTCATAATATTAAAATACATCTTGAATATCAAATGATTCCTAAAAAAATATATATAACCACGACTAAATATTAAAATGGCAAGGATCCTTGCTGTATGTCAATTGTCAATACATTAAAATTTCGCGGGCATTTTAATGTCAAACTTTTATCACATTGAACTTTATTTTGATCACGAAAATATTTGGCAAAAATAAAACAAACTTATTAATAATAATCATTTCCATTTTAATATTTTATATGTACTGACTAGATGAGTTTGTGTTAAGTGTACATTTTAATTGTATTTACAATGAGTTCTTTACTATCCGCCGAACTTTCTGCAACTTGCAATGCGTTGGGCACGTACGATAAAAAAACTGGTAAATATCTCATAGATGACTTTACCTTAAACACAGTTAAGGATCTCATTAGATATATGCGGAGAGATGGAGAAGATCATGAAATTCGGATGCACCTTGGACAAACAAAAGTGTTGCAAAGTGATCTTTTGCCCATGTTGATTGACCACTGGGAGAATACTGAACTATTTGATGTTACTCTAAGGTAAATTAAAACTCAAAAAAACAATTTTATAGATAAATTGTTAATATTATATTATTCTAATATCATAAATACAATTGTATGTCTGCATTACTAACCAAACTGTTTCTTTATCCATATTCTTATTGAATATAGAATTACAACATTAATTTTTATTGTAGATTAATAGTCAATTTGACGAATCCAGCGCTACTCCTATTCAGAGAAGAAGTTCCTGTGGAGAGAACAGCTCGCCATAATTATTTACAGATTCTTTATCATCTTCAATCATATAAAGAGGAGGCATTTACAAAGGTTGCGACTTGGCAGGTCTTTTCCAAGAAATTGGCTAAAGTTCTGGAAATTGTTAGTTTATTATCAACAAATCTTAACCTTATACATTACTAAAAATAATAACAATATTAAACAATCTTAATTTTTTTCTTTTATTAGGATTGGTCAGAGAGAGATGAAGATACTGGATTAGTGATAGAAAGAATCCTGATTTTGATAAGGAATGTTTTGCATGTTCCTGCTGATTTGGATAAAGAGAGGAGGCCAGAAAATGACGCTAGCATTCATGATCAGGTAACATGCTTACAAATCATACTGTTTTTAACTAATCAATTTGTTGTTGTTGTTTTACGACTTAGGGAAATTATTATGACTTATGAATTATTAATATTTTTGACATGTTATTGCACATGAAGGGACTCGGTAGCTCAATTGGTAGAGCAACAGCACGGAACGCTGACAATGCCGGTTCAAGTCCTGCCCGAGTCGAAAAATTTTTTCAATTTATTTTCGATTTTTAACTTATGAATTAGTTAGTAAAAATTAATTTTGACATAGTACAATTTTTTTTTTTATTAATCTTAATATTTTATTAAAAAAATAATTTATTTTTAGGTTCTGTGGGCTTTAAATCAATCAGGAATTCTAGATATACTATTATACATGTCATCAGAAAATGAAAAACAGTATTTCATGCACATCCTGGAAATAATTACTCATTTACTGAGAGAACAAAACCCATCAGGGTTAGCCGATGCAGCATTACAGCGTAGTGTTGATGAAAAACTGCGTGATGAACAAGAGCTATTGACATTAAGAATGTCAGAGACCAAAGAAAGAGTGAACAAAGTCAGACAGTATTCTTCAACAAGGTTTTTTTATACCTTCTATTTATTTTTATGTACTTATATACTATAAAAGTGTTTAGTATCAAATTAATTTTTACAAAAGTTTCATACCACATACATGAACAGTTAATTAAATTTTCAACACAATTGTACTTTTGTTTCCATTACAGACATTCTAGATTTGGAGGTACTTATGTTATTCAGAATATGAAATCTATATCCGATAATGAATTAATTTGTCTGAAACCACTTAACAAAATATCGAACTTGGACTTTAATGGTAGCAAGAAATCCAAATTAGTCAGACCAAAAAATAGACGGCCCGTTGAAAGTGGTGCTATGGAACGTAGATCACCTTTTGCTGTCAGGTTGGTAGGACAGACATAAACGTTAATTATTATAGATATATATACTTACTTAAATATATATCTTCTTATCAAATTCATTCATCTTATTATTTTCTTTTGGGGACACAGATATAAGGCCGAGTGAACAGTCCCCATCATTAGCTGACTGTTCATTAAATGTTTTATATGTCATATATTTAAGTACACATGTTAAACTATATATTGTATATACAAATTATAGTGCAGTACACATGTAAGATGGTTAATACATTTTGTATTCAATTTTAGGTTGTTTCTGAAAGAATTTTGTATAGAATTCCTCAACTCATCATACAATCCACTTATGCACTATGTCAAGGATGTTTTAGTAAGAGCTAAAGCGCAGCAGAACGACGAATCTTATTACCTTTGGACCATGAAGTTCTTTATGGAATTTAATAGGGGACACAAGTTTAATGTTGCCCTAGTTAGGTATGTTTTTATTGTTATTCCTGAACAAACTGGAACTTATCGGTATCTATTTTAATATTATAAAGTTGACGAGTCTGTTTGTTTGTTACAACATTCGTGCGGTTATCTCAAAAAGTACTGGTTTTAATTAAAAAATGGCATCTGAATTATGGAAGCGAAGAAATAGAGAAGATGTAGTAAAAACGAGGAAAATTATGCAAAAATGATGTTAAAAACCAAAGATCTTTATGTGATCTAAAAAAATCAGCTTATGTCCATCGTCTAACACTAAGTAGCAAGAACGACGGGACGCGGACGACGTCGTGTGGTACAACTATAATTTATAAAGCTGAGGTTGCTTCCAAAAATAAATAATATGATGTCCAAAATAACTATTCCACCTGGACAAAGTAGCGGGCACAGCTAGTTATTAGATATAACAGAAGATTTTATAATTTTAAAACGTGCTAGTGCTAACCTATCGAGGAAACTTTATTTGTTCATTTATTATAATATTATATTTTCCTTATTCAGAAAAAAATCACATTCCTTTTACATCGTAATTCTATTATCATATTCCTACAATAACGATACTACTAGGACCTTCTTTTTTAACAGTTTAGTTACATTTTTAGTGAAACCATGTCAGTACCAATGTTTCATTACGTACAACAGCAAATGGAAAAATACTACGACATGGTTCATGTCGAGAAGAAGAAGTTTTCTCCTTGGGTCCGTAGACTTCACCTTGCTTTACGGTGCTATAAGGAACTACTAAATACGCTACTAGCTATGGACAAATGCAACGATTCTTCTGTGAAAGAGTCCGCAAAGGTTATTAAAAGCAATGTGTTTTATGTAGTTGAATACAGAGAGTTTATTTTATCGATGTTCTTAAATTACGATGAAAACAAAATGCCCAGGTACGTTTTAACTACTGTTTGTGATATTAAGTGTTATTTTCTACAGATTTTTTATTTATTTAATATTTCAGATCGTATCTTCTAGATTTGATAGAGACCGTTCACTTATTCTTGAAAATGCTGGAACATTACTGTAAGAAGACTGGATTGGTCGTTCAAAAGAAAGTTCGTAAGAAGGCAAAAAGCATAAGTAAGTGTAAAGATAATAACTTTTTTATTAAATATTAAATAAGACTTACTTAAGTAGTGCTAAGAGAGTTTAAACATTAAATAAATTAATTGTAATTAGTACTTTTTTTATATTTTTATAATGTACTAAAATTTTAAACAATTAAAATACGCAAAACGGTTAAAATGCAAAACATATTTTTGTTTGTGTTTTAGACACTTACAGCAGCTATAATAACATATTTCGTATTTGAAACCGTTTAAAGTCTCTAAATAAGACCCGACAAACAGATGTCCGTAAACTACAGACTAATGCAAACCATCATTTTCAAATCATGGAAGACATTTATACTGCGCAAAATAATTTTACTAGAAAATCTGTTGGAATTTCAATGTGTACTGTAATGAAAAGCAATAAAAAAATTACCAACAAAGTAATTCAGGTAGACACTGGAGTGACTCAAGTGTGAACATTGAACACATGACTCGTCAAAAGGAACGCCCGTTGTTCGCTCATTCAAATATAATTGCTTGCGGATTAGTCTGTCTCGAATGCCTTGTATTTTATTCGTTCGTTAGTTGCTTGGCCAAAGCTTGCCCGAAGCTTGCCCGCAATTTCCAGAGGACGCCGACGTGTTTTGGATAATTTTCAATTAATTAGAAACATTTTGGATCTGGTGGGCATCGAACTCTTGATTATTAGATGTAGACAACAGCAAACACATCAAATTGCCTAACAGAAAATTCGTACTATTTTTACACACGTTCCTTCGTTGATTTTAATCTAAACATTTTAAATTAACATGCAATACCACTGCAGTTAAAAATAATAAGTCGAACAATAACAAGAGACGGTAATAGGTTAAAAGTAATCGAAAAATAAATTTCGTTATTTTAAATAACTGTCTTGCTAACCGTACAATTTGACAAATGGATAACATTGTGGAAACAAGTGAAAACAAAATGTTTCTTTTTTGTAGAACAAAAATCTCGCCCCTCCAAACCGCAAGCCCCTAAGTCAGATATCCCGCAATGGGAGGCGGTGAGGGAGCAAATGGCTGTGGTGCTGACGTCACAACTCGATAACTACCCTCCGCCGTTCGATGCAGCTTCGGACACGCCGATAGATCAGCAGAAGTAAGACATTGCTTTAGTTTTAACAAACTTATTTAATTGTTAACTATCTTTGTAATTGATAAAAATTGTGTAGGAAAGAATGATTCCCTTATAAATCATCTAAAAAAAGTCCGTGTCGCTATTTGTCTATCTTTTAAGATTAACTAGCAAGAACAACAGGAAGGGACGCGATCGACATTGTGGCTAACAGCTTAAGTATATAAAGCAACCCATCTTGGTTTTGAAAAACTTATTTGGATGCTCAAAATAACGATTCGTGCGATTTTTATTATAAATTATAATATAATTAATATGTTTTCATTGCAACACTGTTGTTTATAGAGAAGATTGCATGAAGAAGATACAAAAACTGATGCGAGATTATAAGTACGAAGATGCTATAGGTACGCTCAGAGCAGCTAGGTAAGTACAAAACGTTTGCTGTAATTAAAGCAAAACCAAATTTACGTATAAACTATAAATCCAAATTCCGTTGTTTATGGCTAGGCTGATAATTTATTTGCCCACAAACATTATTATTTTGGTATTTAGTCAGATCTATTTATATTTATCCCTAATAACAACCACATAAAAATGCTCCAATTGAGAATAGCATTTGATAATAAGCGCTTACATTTATCATTTTAAAACGCTTTTGATGAAACCTCGTTACCGCAAAGTGTTGTTTTAAAACCCATATCATTAAAGCGATGACCCAGTGTTTAACTTTCTGCTGTTTCCCGTCACGAAGGATATGGCGTTTTTAAATATTAGTGCTAATATAACATTTCACATATAACTCTAGAGAGGTTTGGCCAGAAGAAGGCATTTTCGGGACGGAAGGAATTCAGGAGCACGAAGAGTTAGATATGCTTGAAACTATATATAATACGGACTTGGGACTTCAAGAAGGTAATTTAGCTTTTATATGACTACTTTGATGTTGGAATAGAAATTTATTGAAAGTATTTTTTGTAGAAAACATTCAAGAAAACGATGAAGAGGAAAACTCAGAATATGATGAAGGTAAGTGTCGTCTGTAGTTTACGCGAGTAGTACACATTTAATTAAAACACTTTAACGGTTTAAAACGCGATATGTTTTAGTTAAACTTGTTTGAAAATTATTCTAAGAAACGTCGGGCTATAGTGTTTTATTTAAAAGGTAAGCGTTATTATTATGCTTATTTTTGCTATTTTTTATGTACTAATAATATTATTGCGTTATTTGTACAGATTTTTTACTTAGTGTTTTTAGGTATTTATCGATCCCTTACCATTTTCTTTATTATTCAAATTTGAGCTTGAACTCAACTTTTTAGATGAAGAAGAAGGTGGAAAAACGACGTCTTTCGTAGAAACCGAATTTGATTTTCAAGATTTCTTGCAAAGGTAATAAATTGACTAACGTAACGTACTCATTTAAATAAAAAACATACATTTTACACTTTGATTTTTTTTAGATTCGCTCACCCTAGGGTAGTAAGTGCCTGTGTGCTGTTACTTGAGCGTTTCGAGAAAAACACTCCTTATACCAACCACTGCATTGCAAAGATGCTTCATAGAATAGCATGGGATTGCAAGCGACCAGCAATGATGTTTCAAGCGAACTTGTTCCTTATTTTTCAAAGAGTACTAGCGAACAGTATTGAACATTTTAAGGTAACGAAACGGCCCAATGCTTTAAAAATACCTCTTTAACATCAGCTATAATCGCGCTTTAAAAACATCTCCGCTAAATCTATACATTATATTCCGTTTCTCTTATCTGGATTCGCAAGTTCCTGTTTTTATTTACTTGTTCGGTATATTATTATCAGTCAAGTAGTTAATCAAACGCCCTAACTGGCCGAAACTATTGTTTTCCCGGGATGCGAACCGAGATATCCTCGCGCAAAATTGAATCCGTTTACAATTATTCTACGTCAAGGAGGTTAATCATAATGCACTGTCCGTTCCTTAACAAGTTTGCTTTTAATTAGTACTTAAAATTCTATATAGAGAAATATTCGTATTTACGTTAAAAAGTAGTGTATAAATTTAAAACCCCCGAGAGTAGCAGGATTAACAATTTTCCTGCCAAGTTCTAATATGTGAAGAAAATCTCTTGAAAAATTTCCACAGCTCAGCCTTTCTAAAAATCGCATTGAAAATTTCGTAGGAATTGGAAAAGTTCGCGATATACATAATAAGAAAATTCACGGAGATCGCGTCTAAGAGTCCGAAGGCTTTCATAGAACTGCTGTTCTGGACAAACTCTAAGGATGCGATAGATGTCGAGTGTGGATACGATCTCTATAACGACCCACGGTGAGTTAGTTCACCTTACATACAGAATATTCTGGACTTTATAGTTGTTAATATGAATATATATTGGATTTATTATACATTCACGACGTCAATTTACGTACATATCCTTATAAAAATGTTTAGTCTAATAGTTAAAACTAAATCTATACTAATATTATAGAGCTGAAGAGTTTGTTTCTTTGTTAGAACGCGCTAATCTCAGGAACTACTGGTTCAAATTGAAATAATCATTTTGTGTTGGGAACAGCAAGCTGTAAGCTATAAACGTAAGCGAATAGGAACCAAGAAACAGTGGGATTTAATTTTCCTAAAATAATCTAAAAAAAAATGTTCACGATATACGTATTAAGTCACAAAAACCTACTAAACTTAGTTTTTGTGGTAGTCAAGTGTAACTAGTACTCAAGTTTAGTGTAACATGCCAAGGATTATTATTTACAAGCATATGTACCTCAGTGGCGTAACTATACCGTTCGAGGCCCGTGGCAAATTCATCGAATGGGCCCTCCCACTTCCCCAATATATAAAGAAGCTGAACCAACAATTGAGATTTCCTCTGACCGGGGGCCCCTTCGGGCTGGGGGCCCGTGGCATTTTGCCGACTTGCCACCCTATAGTTTTGCCACTGATGTACCTATTATGAAGGTTATATACCCAAGCCCTATAACATCTCAATAAGATGCTCTGCTACCTATTTTGGCTTTAAATATTAGAAAACCCACAGACTGAAACAGAAACGCGATTACACTTCACCACTTCATGGTGATTTATACAAAATAAGGCTGGCAAAACTAACTTTTGATGACCAACATACTATTCTACGCGGACAAAATCGCGTCCACAGCTAGTTTCCTAAATAAAATCCTTTACTTATCTATACATCCGTTATTGGACAATCAGTATTTGGATGCACTCCAAGGCCGCCCCATAACTTAGAATCACAGCTCCCACTAGCTTTGGCATCGGATTCGCTCGCGTGAATTATATCCCCATAAGCCTAGTATGGTGTGCCCAGGGACGTATTAGTCCAACATTCTAACTATATCTAGCCGTTCTAGGCGATGCCTTCGCTGTTTGTATTTTGGAAGCGCACCAAAAAGGCACTCGCCGAATTTTAAAGAGCTTTAAACGAGCATGTTCGCATTAATTAAAGCCTTATTTGAGTTGCAAGTGAGCGCAAATAATGTAATTATGGGGATGCATTATTTAGCATAATATGAATGCTGGACTAGCTCTAATTGACATGTGACACTCGTAGCATATTTTTCTCATTTATTTCAATGTAGTATTCGTGTTTTTTTTTAATGTAGTCAACCGAACTTTGCAGTTAACTTTATATTTACCCGGAATTCGAATCTAGGACCACCGGTGCACATATCTAACTCTTACAATCATATGTTACTTATTTATTTTATTCCGCTGCCGTAGCGACCCAAAGAGAGCCTGAGAGCCTTGGTCAAAAACAAACATTGATAAGTAATTCGTAGTTTAATACTACATAAAAGTAATTTTTAAACAAAACACTTTAACGGTTAGTTAAACTTATTTGCAAATTATTTTAACTACGTCACAGGGAGACTAAAGACGAAGATCTCTGACGCCAAAGTAAATAACTGCAACGCTAGCGCCATCTTAGCGCCGCACATTAATAAAATGTATTATTACCTGTGCTCAAAATAAGGTTTAATATTGTAATGTGTATTATTTTTCATATAATAAACTCTGTCTCTGTATCACTCTCAAAGTTCTCGAAGCAAGTTTATTTTATTCTGCAGGAAATCTAAATTATGAGAAAATACATACATACATGTATAATTTAAATATACCTACCAATAAGTTAAATGGCAAGCCCTGATATTATTATCTTGATCGACACTAATATCCGCGCGATGGAACCCGGCTCTTCCCAAGAGGCCGCAATTTAATCAGAACATGAATGAAACAAAGAGAAAAATCTTGTTCCCTAAACTTTTTGATTACGCAAATTCGTAATTAACCGTCGACTTTTGAAACAAATTGCCTGCCTCTAAATTGTGTGTTATTTAAAAATAATGCCTTGTTTACATCACAAAATGTTTACGATGGGAAATTTAAAAAACTGTTTTGTATTTAAGGGATTCTATATTTGGAAGTTTTTAAGGGTTCGTTGGTAGCAATGTAGGCTCATGAAAAGCAACGGGTCGCGGATCGATTTTATTATAATTCTTTAAAACATTGGACCACTTCTTAAGAATCTAGACAGTGGTTTAAATAACACACTTTAACGGTTTTAAACGCGCTATATTTTGGTTAAACTTATTTGAAAATTATTATTTAGGTGGCCACGGCTCGACGTTCGAATTCTTTGCACACCGTTGTTTGTCATAATTGGTCGTGTCGCGTACTTGCGTAAACTACAGACACACGATGGTGATAAAAACAACGACATTCCGTCCAATGTCTTCAGTTTTAGTTAGTGGATGAAGTTTTTTTCAGACGGTGCTGAAAGTTACATCTGTACCTTTCGTCGGTCCTATGTAGTGAAAAAGTAATATAATCATTATTAGATGTATAACTTTTATTAGTAGACACATGTTAAGCCAATGTGCCTTGAAAAATAATAAACTTATTTAACACAAACTTGCTAAATCTGTCCCCGTTATCTTAAGCTCCGTGGCTTTATACTCCATTCTTGGTAAGAGACTGTATGAATAAAATGTTATTGTACCCATGATATTGAGTTGAAGCAAGAGCTGAACATATAAATCTATTATTTAATAAATTTAATTTAGGAACAAGGAAGGTAAATCTACCTGGTCTGAAGAACAAGAAGAAGAACTACGCAAGCTTTACATGGAGAATCAGTCGAATCCGGAAAACGATCAAGGTATTTTTCTTATATAAATAACCGTAATAATTTGCCATTTCCATTAATAGAATTTAGGCATTTCATTTGGTAATTTATATCTCTCTATTCTATCAGTTATCGAAAGGAGATTTAGAATTTATATTTCACTCTTTTCAAATATGCAACCAATATATGTATTGTTTGAACGGTTTTAAATTCATATTCAATACTCTTTAATGTCCTTTAAATGTACTGCTTATACTATAACTACTAAATTAAATATTAAAATCTATAGTAATACATAGATACTAATATTGCCATTGTATTAATGGCTATTACCAGAAGGTACCATTCGCAGCTGTGCATGCTTGTCACACTCAGCAGAGCTGGTTTTCAAACTGGCCCGGGTACAGTTTGGATTTCAAATTGGTGGCTTCCGTTCGGAAAGGACATACATTACTATTCACGCCCTGTCGTCTAAATAATATAGTTTTTTTTTTCGAGCATCGAACTCACGACTTTTATTGTGTTAAATTATGCTTAGCAACGCTAAGTAAGGCTTAATTATTAATTATTAACCTGTAAAGCGGATATAATTAGAACACCTAGCGGAAATGGTGGTAACGCGTTATGCAGCGTTATATTGCTGAAGGCGGCATAATACAAACGCCTTGAGGTTTACCGCTGTCCACATACATAGCACAATACGGAGTGATTTAGGTAATGCCTGACAAAACGCTTACGTGGCTAGACCTAGACGTTAGTTTCACGTATACAGTACTTTATCTGTTTAAATTAAGCTACATTTTTTTTTTCAGTCTGCTCTACCAATAATATCGAAAGCATATATATGCCGTATCCGTCTCGTTTAACAGTTAGACATTGCATAGGCATGTAAGGTCCTGGATTCGAATCCCGTTGATACATAATTCTTTCAGCCGGTCAGGGCACAGATCAACTTTACTTACCTATAAATAAATGCGATCGGTGAAACACATTTCTTTGTCTACTTTTATTAAATTCTACTATTTCTATAGTTGATTTAACTTCTGTGCTTTGCTCGACCGAAACAATTATTTCGTGTACGAGCAATGCTAATTCGCGGACCGGTCAACGGTAAAACAAAATTTGTATATAAAAAAAAACTTGGGAATATAAATGAAATAGATCAAATTATTTAAGCGTGACTCGAGTAAATTTTATAACAAATCAGCTGTAATTCATAATACTACACATAAAACATTTCAACAAAGATTATTCGCGACTGCAAAAGAAAAAATGACATTAATAACACTGATTTGTAACTGGAACATTATATCAACGTCCAGGTAAATAAGATTCCTTTTAAAACGGAGGAAATTATATTAATTTCGCTGCACAGGAATAACTGTTGCTTGAAACTTAAGATGCGACTCGAGTCGGAATCATTTTAATTGAGAATATTACATCTTATTCTAGATTCTTGGCGTCGTTAAACCTGAAACGCAGACAGCGAATGCTTTTACGCTAATAATTTTGTGTTTTATAGTGAGACCTGAGTGATGAAACTTGACTTGACTCACGAATTAACGTTATTTAGAGTTATGTACCTGAGTATAAATAAGACCCGATTACTTCGATAAGACTTCGATCTCTGTCACTAGAATCTATACATCGGCGATATATAGACAGTTAAAATTATGCTTGTTGTCGCTAAAACGAATACTAAAAAAATATTTTTCTAGTAGCTAGTAGCTATGTGTAATCAATATTTGTCTTGTTACTTTTCTAGTAAAGAGTTAAATTAAAAAATTAAATCAAATGGAATTATATCTAAAGAACCTAGTAAGATTAACCGTTGTCTAAATACACAAAAATTAAAATATAAATACATACCTTGGCCATATCTCTAACCAGACAACACGCATCTTGACAAGATGCGTGACGTCCTATTTTGGTTTTGGATATTCGGATATCAACAAACTGAAACCGAATCGCGATCAAACTTGACGGCCTTTTCAACTGTGGAATTGCCATATTCCTACCAACCGTTTAATATCGATATTTCCAGAAAATCCATGGTGTTTAAAAAATATATAAATTGATTAGAAATTGTTTGACCTTTGGGAACGACTTGATTATTAGCCTAACATTTCTACCATTACCAACGAGCCGGTACTTTTTAATCCTTATCTATAATATATGTTACAGACGTCATCGACTGGATCCTAGACAATCTCATAGACCAGACTAGAACACGTCGCAGCGTAATAAAAAAGTTAAAGGAATTAGGGCTGATATTCCGCGCGCCCACCAAGAAGACCAATAAGGAGAGAAGAGAGAAAGTTCCCAAAGAGTTTAGTGCTGAGGAGGACGAACTTTTAAAGGAATTGTGGACGCAGTTTGGGGAATCGGATGGTGATTGCTTTAACTTATATAAATATTTGTGATCTCAATTTTTTTACTTCCTTATTTATTACTTCGTTATATTTATTTTTAAATAAAATCACATTAAAATGTTTATAATTATAATTGATTGCTTATCGTTTGAAGACATATCTTGGCTCTCTCTTTTGTGGACGGTGCTTGGCGACCCGGAGCGAAATTTCAATATTCCTAGCACCCATTTAATGTCCAGATTTGCAAACGTCCAATATGTTCAGAAAAAGTATAAATTGATTGAAAATGTTGGACCCGATGGAGATCGGACCCACGACCCGTTGACTATCAGCCACACGTTGCTACCATTACAGCAACATGCATCTGATAACATTATATTAAATAAAACACTTTAACGGTTTAAAACGCGATATATTAGTTAAACTTATTTGGAAATGATTTTTAACTTCGGCCCGACGTTTCGGATGCTTTGCAGCACCCGTGGTCACGGGGAGATTAAAGATGGAGGATGTCTTTGACGTCAAAGTAAAAAATTGCTACGCTAGCGCCATCTGTTCCGTCGGGAGTTGGTATTTGGTGAAACTGGACGTCCTTACAGAATTGACTAACGGTGTCTTCGCGTTTGCCGGTATGCTGTTTATTGGGATCCAGAGTTTTTAATATGGGATCCCAGGTGTTTGATAATTTGAGGCCGTTCTCCCTATTGAAATTTCGGTGTTTCGGTGTTCCGAAACGTCGGGTCGAAGTTAAAAATCATTTCCAAATAAGTTTAACTAATATATCGCGTTTTAAACCGTTAAAGTGTTTTATTTCAATGTGTACTACTCGCGTAAACTATAGACAGTATTTAACATAATATTAATTAAAAAATGAGGAAACGAGCGGGACTCGAACCTGCATATACAGCGATCTGTGTTACTGTTGTGAATATCGGTTTATCTTGACCGAAGTTTATACAGTATTAAGTCACTACAGTAGATTCTTTAAATAGTAGTTGGCGCATACTATGTGCCCTGATCGTACAAATAAATACAACATTGGCCCATTTTACCTCGATGCCGACCCAATCGATAAGCCGCCATCACAGTATACATATAACAGTACGGTCAGCAAATCTCCGTTTGCAATTTCAACGCCTTATTTTTCCATTTATAAAATTACAGTGGTATTTCAAAAAACTTTAAACCTTGAAATCTAAGTTCTTACTGTAAAAACTTGTTAAACTGTAAAATAACGTTAATGTAACGTCAGCAAAATAGTATGAACTATGTCGTAAAAAAGCGTAGATAGATGTCACTACCTAGATGAAATTTACCAAAAGGACAAGTCGACTGCGTTTTTGTGTTTTGTGCGTTTCCCTTGCATGGGCCAGATACATATGTTTTTCTTATCGGTTTTGACAATCAACTCTATCTGACTCGTACCCAACCTCTATCTTCCCCCCCATGATACAAACCATAAATCTCTTACGTTATAACAGACACTTATTTCTATGCGATTAACGAAATTACATTATTTAAATTTAAAACCTCAAGCCACTTTGTAACTAGCAATTATAAGTGAAATACTGTTCCAGTTGTTACTAACTTCTTGTAATATTCTGCGACGAGGTGTAGGGTGTCGTCAAATCGATAGTACGGCGGACCTTCCATGGGAGCTATAAAACTTTATAGCCTTCCGAGTTTTCTTTGGCATCTGTGCTTATTTATCTCACGGTAGACATCAAAACATTAGGATGGAAAACTTTTAACTCGTATAACTTGGATCTTTTGTATGTCAACTTGTTTGTAGATTCAACAGACAGATAACATACAGAACTATACTAAGTAAAAGTTATAATAGTCTATAACTTAAGCTGTTTTAGAGAATCGTTTATAATTCCTAGAGCTATATAGAAGTATGTACTTTTTCTGGTATTTCAAAGCCAAAAACCGTTGTTATTTATATGTTCATTTTATCACATAATTAAATAAAATGATAATGATAAATAATTTCACGTTTCAACCCGTTAAAAATGTGTTTACATATTTTTATACGGGTTCAAATGACTTTGTGTTTCAAGATCCTATGAGCCTTTTAATCGCTCGAATGCCGCGCAAACGCCAAAAACGTAGTTACATAGACCGCCTGCTGGAACTGGGAATTATACAGGACAGGAAACAGTGTCGTAAACAGAGACAGAATAGAAAAGAGAATGACTCAAGAGATGAAGGTAAGTTTTTGAGCTCAAGTAATATATATAGAATAAATACAACCATTTACATGTTAAGTTCTCCTAATAAAAGCTCGACAACATAACGACTTCAACAATTGTTACGCCAAAACTTCATGTCATTAAACTTTCGCAAAGAGTTCTGTGTGTAACTTATCGTGTAATGAGACACTAATTTTAGTCTTTTTTTTATCTTTCTCCTGTAGCCATCTTCGTAGAAATATATATGATATTGTTTGTTTCGTTAGGAGTAAAATAAATTGCTCACGGAGTGCTATGAGTATTTGAAATATCATGTTGTAATTACCAACGAATTTTACTCGTGGTTAAAACCGTTAGAAATGTTTTTAATGAGTACCACTCTGATAAACTAATAAGATATCAGAAGTCATTGAATAGTTGTGTATCATGTTTGTATATTTTATCATATTACTAATAATTTATAAGTTAAATTTACTGATATCTGAACAATTATAATCTTCTAGCTAGTTCGGAAGACTCCGACAGTGGGTCGAGAAGTTCTTCACCGGTTAAAATGAAACCCAAGAAGAAACAAGAAGTAAGGAGAAGAAAAGAAAATAACAAAAGTAATATTGAAATTAGTGCGAGCGAGATAGCAAGGCTGTTGGTGTCTGCTGTAGAAGCAGGTAAGTAGTATGCTAATGTAAATACTTAAAACGCCCACTTTAAACCTATTGAAATTTTGAGATGAGGTTTATAATATGTTTATTACCTTTCTATTGACTGTTCCATAGATAAAGAGGAAATACATGTAACCACATGAAATTATTATGATTAAAATTCATATAATAAAATATACGCTACTTTACTTAAATGTAAACTTACAATAATACATCTTAAAGCAATTTCAGTGACATTTTGCTGCTATAAAAGTCGTGCTTATGCTTTCGTGACGGGCGCACTGTAAGGACATTTTCACGTGCTACTTCTAACATTTGTACTAGTTTGAATTGGGTCATAAATAAAACGATATTATATTTCGTTGTGTCGTCTTTTATATTAAAAAATAACAAGCCATGTCCTACAATTTTCGTAGCCCTCCTAAAATTTCTAGATCAAGAATTCTAACAGCAATTACGAATTTTCTAAACCCACGGAGTACTTGAAAAGTTTGTAATATAAAACTTTATACGAAATGCCTATTAATATTCCGCGAACTTTTCTCTTCAACGCTTCAAAATACGTCATGTTAATGGAATAGGTAATTTAAGGTTTACCTCAGTGTTGTAATTTATTAAAGTTGTACTCATACCTGAAGTATTAATTTCGTAAACCTTATGTCTTCAGTATATAATTCATTTACACTAAAATAATGTATGTAGGTCACACGGAACCATTAAATTGGTTAGCAGAAAGCTTAGAAGAAGTAGCTCTAGATCAGGAAGCAGAGGGTTTTAATCCAAATGAAGAAGGTACTCCGTTGGTGCCAATCTTTGCCGGATCAGCTCAGGCAATGGAGGATAATTTATTCCAGACTGTATTAAGGGCGGTTGGAATCGTTCCACCCAATGATCAAGTTAGTACGAATTCATTGCAATAGAAAATATGCGTCACTTTCATAACCGCATAACCTTATAGCAATAAACATTTGTGAAATATTTATTTATAGTAAGTATTTAAAACGAAATGATTTCAATTATTGGCCCGAGGACACTTGCATATGTACTTTTTAAATTCTTGGCTGCATTTTATAACTTAATAAAGTATGTACTTTAATTTCCTATTGCAAAATCAATAAAAAAAATTATACAAATAAAGATTTTATTGAAGTCGGTATACTTTTTTTTTAAATATATATATTACTTATAAACATGTGCCACCCTTTTTACACCAGGAATCATATTGGAGAATACCGAGCACTCTTCATTACGAAACAATAAGAAAACGTCGTGAAATCATTCTCAAAGCTGTCAATAAGGAGTTGGTACTGGAACAAAATAAAGATAATAATGACTCTAGTGATGATGATGACCTCTTTGATAATTTACGAAAGATCACTAACAACGCTAGCTCTTCTGAAAGACCTGATGATAATGATGTCCAAATGACAGCGGTCGATGATCAAGAAAATAATATTGATCAATTTACTAGCATCAATAATAAGAAAAGCCGTAAAAGGACTCGCAGTGTAGAATCTGAAGGCAAATCGAATAAATTGCAGAAAATAGATGAAGATGACGAAGATATTCTCTCTTTTGCTAAGAAGACACTTAATCACGAAACTTTACCAGACACTGAGGATATCTTAAGTGCACTGCCTTCACGCAATAGTGGTATGTACCTTTTTAAGACTACTATTTTCTTTATTTCATTCTGTTAATATTTAAACTATTATTTAAACTAATGAGAAAACAAATGTTCAAATCAACATGAATACATATATATTTTTTTGCTTTATTATAACTTAACACTTTTGTATTTATTAATCAATATAAACTGACCATGTTAAACGTTATGTTGGCTTTTTAAAAACAAACCGAATGCATATGCTCACTACATTTATATTTATAGAACCTAAAAAATTTCCTAAGATATACGTAGCGTATATTTAAATTTTATTTCTTAACTTCTAGACAGCAGTGACGATGAAGATGTATTAAATATTTCAAGGAAGAAGAAAACTCGTAAAATAGTCAGCGACGACGAATCTGAATAAAACTTTAAGAAGATTGATTATTTATATGCCGGAAACCACGATATATTTATTTAGACCAAACTGTTAAAAGGAAATAAGAATGTTTCAATTTATTTGGTATTTTTTCACAGATCAGTATTAACGTGTATTTCATCGTAATAAATTGATAGCGACAACAAGTTATACTTGTACATCTGTTGCCATGACATATTTTCTAACCCTAAAAAGCCTCTATTGTGTTAGTCTAAAAATGAACTCTTTTACTGTAATGAAAGACCTACGTTGTAACCATATATTTAAGATATAACATTTATTTCAAATAAATATATACCTATATTGGATATACAATTCAAGCTCGAGGAAAGCCAGCTGAAAAGTATATCTTGTTAGAATATGCACGCTTCCCAGTTCCCTATCAACTTCATTTCCACAGCGAAATTGTTTGCAGTATTTCAAATGTCTGCAGTTCGATCACAGTTTCATAAAAGCGACTGCTATTTCGTCGCAGATAATAACACCAATAGCACAACGCGGACGATGGAAAGAAAATACCTCCGAGGTTATTGGTAAGGAATATTGGAATTCTCGTCTCCACGTTTTAATAAGTACGCTGTTTCGAAATTCAAAAGTTATTCACAGCCTAAATAACTCTTCGGAATATAAACGGGCAAAATATACGCACGGATTATTCAACTAATATAATCCGTAAGTATAAAAGAACTGAAACGGCTTAACAGATTTTGGTGAAATACGTAGCTGTAGCTGGCTTGTATAGCCTATATATCCGGAAAACATCAAGTTCGTATTAATATCTCACTGCAGAACACAGGTTGTCTCTCAAACTTAGAGGCTTAGTCCCACCGTACTGCTTCAATGCGGGTTAGAGGACGTCAAAGTCTAACGCTGATAGAACTCAAATTACGAATACTATAAGTTTTGAAATCTGTTGATAAACTTCTTCGCCTCTTTTTATACATAGATATTCACACACACACACAATTCTGGCTAACCAACAAATCAATTTATAAAAATAATCCAATCTTTACGGTCAATATTTTAACATTAAATGGGCAGAAGTGAACACAAGTTAGTGTTAAAGCGTATGGTAAGTGCCTAAAAACATATTGTAATTTTACATAAAACAATAAAGTATGTTATTTAAGTATCGGTTTAAAATTAACGCTACTTATTACAATGATTGCATCCGTTGGATCGTTGGCTAAACTATTCCTCGCAATTCCGTACCGTGTTACGTCTAATTGCTTATCTATACTCGTTACTGGGATATTCACACGAGACAGAATTTAACTCTCCACTAAACGAATCTCTAGTTTGGTCTGTACGTCTTAATCCTATGTAATTTAGTATGAGATATTTAAACAATTTCCCTATCCCTTATATAAAACATTTAACGGTTTAAAACGCGTAATGTACTAGTTAGCTTATAATTTATTTTAACTACAGCCCGTAGTTTCGGATACTGCGCAGCAGTCATGGTTACAGGTCACACCTCATACACCAGACAGTCTATATCGCTATAGACCGAGTTTATCCTATATTGATCAGAACAACTAAGAATTTTCGCGTTTTAAACCGTTTAAAGTGTATTTTTTAAATGGGTACTACTAGCGTAAACTACAGACAATGCTCAATCTATTGATCAAGGTATTTTCATTTTTGAACTGTGAATAACGAAATGTAATGTTTTGACTAGGACTTAACGTCTTTTCCATCTTCAATCTTGTTTCTTGGATAGTCCTCCTCATATTAAATTTAAAATCAGTAATGTATGCAGCAATGAGTTTTTCCCGGTTTTGTCCAATCTCCCAACAGGCACTTAGTTACACTCGACAATAACACCTATATTACAACAGCGAGCCTCTATCTCGTGTAGTAAATTCTCTCTTCATCAGATTACCTTCCCCCTCGCAATAAATTTGCGTAAGTTAAATATGTTTTTATAACATTATCTATAACGTAAACACGTGTAAAACAATAGACGTAGAATTTACATACTTTTGTGTTTTGTGAGCCTATAAAATAAATTAACGACGATAACAGAAGTTACTCGTGCCGTTATTATCTAAATGTGATTTTCGTAAGATCCATTTTTTGTCATAGCTTAAACACCAAATGGGTATTTCTTTTTAGGTTTTTTTACCTCTTGTTACAAAAGTTCTTAGACTTGTGGAGTAAAAAACTAAGACTTACTAAATATTCACATATTTTTTTTCTGTTGCCTCTACCACAACAAATACTAAACAAAATTTGTGTACCTACTAATTTTAGCTTAGCCAATGGTACAGAACCCTTCGTATACGAATCTGACTCGGACTTCGACCTTTGTCGGTTTATTTAACACAAGTGTATTTGGATAAAGATTTTTAATTCGCTTTCATTACCCTAATGTATGAAATAAAACATCTTATCGTTAAGTCTGTATTAAACTTATATCAAAGTCTTATTTATTTAATAAAACCATGAAAAACAAGTATACCCACATCAATCTCCGACATTTAATTCGACACGAAAAATTATATCAAGCAAGAACGTTGAAATATTTTATTACGACCTCGGCGCTATAAGCTCTAAAATTTATTTCTTTATTACAAAAATACAACCGCTTCATCCTTGTAATCTCGAGAGATCCAGTTTTTCTTATTCAAATGTTAAGTCAGCTATTTTAACAGCGGCTCATCAATCTTAGCGTAGCCCGAACGTGCACCATTAAGAACGCCCTTGTGCAATCATCCACTCGAATAAAAACGTTTTAAGTGTTAAATTAACGATATCTCTGTGAATACTCCTCGACATCTAAGTGTACGGACACGGGGCCCCTAATGTGGGGGCCTATATTACATTTTCCTTTATGAAGTCAAGATAGCTTTTTAATTCAATTCTACGTGACTTTAGGGGTTGTTAAAAATATTCAAAACTCAATGAAGAAGTAGCAGGTCTAACTTAAATATGCACCGAATATTAGATTTTTCCACAATGAATTCTTGCTATAAATATAACACAAAGTAAAATTTATTTTGTAAGATTTGCCTTTGTTACTCCGATTTGAACCTATGAACTTCGATTAAAGACAACGTCATTAACAACTAAGCCGCGGAGAGGGAGTGAACACTACGAAGTAATAAATCTATTGTTTACATAAGTTAATTTAAAATGTAACCTGTGTAAAAACACGGAACCCAATTTGTTTATGCAAATTCGGATCTGTATAGAGCCACTACATGACTAAGTACATGTCTACGTACGGATGTAATATGGACGTATTGTGGTTATCCAAGGGAATGAGGTAACACTTTGTTATAAGGGAGAAGACCAATTTTATTTATTACTTAAATACTAAAGAATCGGAGATAGCAGTATTTTTTTATTTTAAATTTGAAAAGTTTAATTTATGTTAGACTTCGTCTTGAAATATGGGTCACGAAACACCGCCTACAGATGAAAATACCAAAAAAGTCTGTGAGTTTCCGAATGTTCAAAGTCAAATAGGTCGACAACCCACGCTCGCCTGTAAGAGGACAGGACAATATCATAAAAAAATATATTGTTTCATAAATTTCGTTTATAGTGTTTATAGTTTCAACAAAATTACAAACTAAAGGCGTACTTTAATTTTGGGGCCTCTTGTTGATGAGACTTCGTTATCTGTTAATCAGTCCGTGTTTGTTTTTACAACTTTGAAACTAATAGTGAGGCTCTTTCTTCGATGTGAGAACCATTTATATCTATTAAGCGCAGACATATTCACATGACACTTCCATTATAAGGCGTTATTAAGGTTTGCAATTTCAATGTGGTGCCTAATAGGATAATGGAGATTTAAAAATTATTATTATAAAAATTATACAATTTTCATACAAATTCCTTTAGAATAATGTTAGCACTGTTGAATCTTGGGCTCGACTTTTATCAGGCGACTACTGTAGTAAAGCATTAGAAACATCAGGATGTAGTAAAATTTAATAAAGATTCCGTATAGAAGAATATTTGGATAGTAGAAAATATATCGTCGTCGAAACGCCGTCCGTAGATAAAGCGACAGAGTATAAATCCCATGTTTGATTTATATGTATGGATTTCTAAACGGCCAAAGTCAAAACAGGTCTACTTCTTAATTAGGTTTATTGGTTTAAATAAAACACTTTAACTGTTTAAAACGCGATATATATTAGTTGTGCCCTGACCACAGCTGCTGTGCATCCGGACAAAGCATCCGAAACGTCGGACCGTAGTTAAAATAAGTTTAACTAATATATATCATGTTTTAAACCGTTGTGTTTTTAAACTACAGACAGGTCTTATTGGATAATCCAATAACATATATTACACCTATGAAAAACTTCGCATTCGTCCGATATCCTCTGTCATTATAAGAGGTCCTAAAATTTCGTCATCTTCGTGCTTAACTTAGCGTTTAAATTAAATACGTTTTCAAATGCATACAAAGCTTAGCAAACATATTGTAAAGAAATAGATGGATAGATTAAGAATACTCGGGCAGTTCGCTTTGACTAAACATCTCAAAGCATCCTGCAATCTTGGCACCAGTAAAACAGAATTCAACGTAAAACCTTGAAGAAAAACATCTTATTTCAAGCCCAGTCACTTAGTTAAGTAAACATAAACATTTATTTATATTACGCCGAGCCCGAGGGGCTGACAAATGAGTTATAAGAATAATGGAAGAAAATGATAAATACTGAAACCTTATTTGTAACGTAGAAACATTCAATAAGGTAAAAGATACTAAGAAGTGTCGAAGCAAATAATGTTGTTACGAATAGTCTATAATAGGATTAGCAACAGTAAAATAAACAAGAAATTTTTAGTTAATTGTATTTCTTCAAAAGTTTCCCAGTTCCTCCAAATACCTACTACGGCGAAACAGATGGCGCTAGCGTAGTAGTCTTCAGTCCACCGTGACCGCAGCTTCTGCCAAGCATTTGAAATGTCGGACCGGCGTTAATATAAATTGTTAATAAGTTGACTTATACATTACGCCT